TGACTTTCGAGTCATGACTGATGAAACTTTTCTGCTTTCTTTGGTAAAGTGAAGTCAAATATCTTGTTTATGGGCACTGCCATGTTATGGTTTAAACTAGGGTTAGGGTGGAAGTCCTGCCCACTATTTGACACAAAATTGTGGCGTTCCTACTGTCCCAAACAACCAGCTACCACTAAACATAATGGAAGAAATGACATTCGAACATAAAGCAGCATGTTAAGAATTAAGGTAATAATTAATACCAGAAGAAAATGATCTTACCTTGTGGTGCATTTTTATTTTTTAATCAGAAACTGCCACATTTATTTACATGGAGGGGACTGGACTTCTCTGAAACCTGCCTCAAGGGGTAGTTATGGTTTGCTTTGGTTTCAGGTCCCATGTCCAAGTCTTATGTTTGGTTATTACACACGCTGATTTCATAAGTCACACTCTAAACACTGTAACCCCCCAACACACACACCTTTCTCTCCTTAGTAAAGTCATCTCATTGAGGGATTGCTGAGACCCAACATCATTCCATTGTAGTGAACCTGATTAGGCTCTGCCAATTATGTAGAGTAATGGTTTATGCTCTTTTATGAAAGATGAACCATCCTACATATTTTATAGTTTTAAGAAGACTCAAAGGTTGTTTTCATCGATAAACTGTCAATAATATCCGTGGGTCTGTGTTTCAGTTCAATGAAGAGACAAGTTTGAAAGTTAAAAGATTTAATTCTTCAAATTAAACTAATGATTTTGAAATGACAAGCATAGGAAACAACAATCAACATTGGCAACTTTGTTGAACAATCTTTAACAGTTGATATTGTAAACTTGCTCAAATAGACCTTGTGTTGAATGTGTGAAAATTGAGTGTGATGTGATGTAATTATGGATGCGTGTGTGCAAAATGTAGTGAAAATTGAGAATAAGGTGAGATGAATGTGTGTGTGCGTCTGATTTTGCTTCAGGAAGAAACAGGTGTCTGAGTGAAAAGTGATGGTTTGAATAAACTTAGGTTTTGTTGGAAAAGATGCATCAAACGCTATCTCTCGTGGACTGCCTCACCGTATTCGGACCCTCTTTTAGACCTGGGGCGTCAAAGGACGATGTTTCATCCAGGGGTGACACCTCGGCTGGCAGAGAAGACGAAGGCGTGCTGCGACCCGGTCCAGAGATGACCTCGGTACACGTGATGATGAAACGTTTGCAGATACGCCTTCTTAAGTTTAATTACTCAGAAAATCAAAGACTCTGGACGAGTCTGCGTTAGCGGTTGCAATTCAGCTATTCCTGTCTGGCTTGGCAGGAATAGCGTGGGGGGGGGGGGGGGGTAGTAGCCGCAGGCTCCCTTCCCCGGGTGCGTGTTCAACACGTCCGAACTCTCTCGTTGACAAACTCGAACTGAATCATAAGACTGAAACTTACCAAACCCAGTTCTCTTCTCAAAGCAAAACTTGTGCGTCAGCAAATGTGTTTGGAGTTTACTGTGAGAGAGTGTGTGTGTGTGTGTGAGTGTTTGAGTGAGTGTTTGAGTGTGTGAAGGTCACCACTAAAACATCTTCAAAACATTACTTAATTAAGTATGGATTCATTATAGTTATGATTAACCAAAGCATAATAATCATTCATTTGATTAAAACACATTTATAATGAGTAAAATGGTAAAATGATTATTTAGCATTAATAAACAAAGGAAGCGTAAGACTCTATTATGACTAGCTTCCATGGGAACACATCTTCTGGCACTGCAGGTGTTCAGATGTTATGGTTTCTCCCAGACTCGCTGGCGTTCAGGTCTTAATCTGTGGGTGAAAGTTCTCAGCGACCCAGCCGGGCAAAGTATAACCTTTTGCACAGAAAACCCATATTTCCTCACGTTACACCATTCTTGAAGATGATCCAGGATCTTGTGAATTGTCCTTATGGGTCTTGTGAATGTTTTAAGCATTTAGTTTTATCGTTTATTAGCTTAAAATGAAAGCCGAGTGTCAGTCTGTGGTCTTAGAGTTGTTATCTGCACTAGAGAAATTTGATTTGTCTCTTCAGCTGAGAACACGGTGGTCTGCCTCATGTAAATGTTTAACTACTTCTGTCTCTGATGTCGTATGTTAGAGATACAAGAAAGGAAAGACAGCGATGACAGCAGAAAATGAGATGGGATTCATTAAAATGCAGCTGCATGTACATGGTTTTTACACTAATTGGTTGTGTCACCATGAAGCCCAGGGCTTCCTTTTTAAGATGTCTTTTACATCACATTCACACAGCAGGGAAAACACAATTTAGAAGATGCTGTTTTACACCTAAATGTGGCTTCTGGCTGTCATGGTAACTCAACAGACCGAGTCAAATGCAATGTTTGTACCCAAGTCTCTTCCCATTTTTACTCCTCATGTCACTGTCTCTCACCGCAAAGAAAATGACAAAATATGGTTCGAAATACAATTTAGAGAAGTGACTTGTTGTGGCATCCTACTTACAACAATTTATCTGTTCCAAGTGAGAATCAAGTAAAATGTCAGGATTCTATGCAGGGATTCGGTACGTCTCACTTGATGTTAGAATTAGAGCAGCGGTGCAGAGGTCAGGAGCTGAAAGCATGAGTGAGCACTCTGCGCTGGCATTTTATCACTGCACCAGGATTACAGAGCACTTTTGATTTGTTTTGATGGTGTCGTAATCCTTGAGATTCTCACTGGCCTGTTGGAAAAATCTCTTATATCCATGAAATTATCAGTCTAGAAATGTTACACTCTCCAGCATACAGCCTTGTGTTTCTGTGAGATCTTATTGTAGCAAAGCGTCCAGCCTATAGATAACGGCTCAAAACTGCCCTTTGTCTGGACAAAATATGTGGAAATGTGCGAGGGGCATTTGGCTGTACCTTAAAATTACCCATAAATTACAGCTCTTTACTTCTCTGCTGCCATTTTCTATGCAGAGTTGCACAAACATCTTTTCCACCGAGTCTCGCCTCAAAGCCTGGAGTCAAAATCCATATTTCTTTCTTGTGTAAGTAGGGTCACAAACTCGGGCTTAAAACCTCTGCAGTTCCTGTCATGCCATATTTCACAGTGCAGTGTGTGAACACAGAGCAGAGCTGACAAGTCTCTGCATGAGGAAAGAAGGCTCGGTTCAAAAACAGCTTGACTCCCTGATAAATGGACCGGCCAGTGGCCCATTAGATGACAGAGTTGGTCAAAATGAGTCAGTTAACAAAAGAAACAAACAAAAAAAAAAGATGAGACACAAGCTGCTCTGACACATCCTGATATATATTTGCTGGGACTTGTTAGTGACTACTGGACCTTTGTGGCCAAAGTTCAGTCTCCCAGTCATGTCTGAGTCAGGTCTTTCAAACCCAGCAGCTTCAGGGGCAAAACACCAGTCTGGTGTGTGGACCTTGGACCATAACATTGCCCCTAGTGACGGAGTCTCTTAAGTTAAAAATGACAGTTTTTTTGAAAAACCCGAAACAGATTAGTTGAAAACTGATGCTTTTTTAAACTGTTAAGTTTTAAGTGGTAAATGGCCTGTATTTGATGTAGCACCCTCTAGAGCAGTGGTTCCCAACCTTTTTCCCAAGGGACCCCTTTTTTTACCAGTAAAGTTTTTGACGACCCCCTCCCATTCTCTCTTCCAGTACAAACATTATTAAGAAATGATAAAATTGTTCAAGCACATTTTAATATGCTTTGATTCAATAGATAACAGTAATAGTAGGCTCCAGTACAGAACAAAGTCATTAACAAAACCAAACAGAGCATAATGTGCTTGACAGTTTGTATTACTTTTCTGAACATGTTGTTTCTTGTAAACACTGATAAATCAATCATTCCTTTCAATAAATGTTTGACACATAAAAATACACTGAGCAAAATGTACTTAAATGTGTGTATTACTGTTTATACTAGATTATTTACTGTAAACGCTGTGATTAATCAACCAGTCCTATCTTTAATGAACTTTTGACACTTGAAAATAAAACAGTGAGGTGAGCAAAATGTTCTTAAAAGTGTGTTACTTTTTCTGTACTAATTGTTTCCTGTCTTAATATCAGTAAACTTTTCACTCATGAAAAAAAATGTGAGCAAAATGTAGGCTATAAACAAGTAATAAATGAAGTTTTAACCCTTTAAAGTGGAGAGGTCCTGGCGACCCACTGTGAGGCTTTGGCGCCCCCTTGTGGGGGTCGGGACCCCCAGGTTAGGAACCACTGCTCTAGAATCCTGGAACCTCCCAAGGCACTTTACAACACAATCAGTCATTCATCCATTCACACCCTGGAGGTGATGAGCTACACTTGTAGCCACAGAGGCGAGTCGTCATACACTGGGGCCACTGGTCCCTCTGAACACAACCAGAGACAAGGATGGATTTTGTTAGTTGGTATTTTAAATTCTCCTAATTCTGATTGTGATATAATTGGGTTGAACTTACTGCGATTAATTTGGTGTTTGTTTTTATTGTTACCTGTCTGAGAAAGACTTTTGTTGTGAATTAGAACTTCGTAAAAAATAACTGAATTAAAATGAAAAAGTTTGACTCTCACTGTGACTAAGGCCCTATCCACACGTAGATATTTTTCTACGTTTTGGCCTGTCATGCACACGAAAACGGAGTTTTTTCACACGAAAACGGATCTTTTTAAAAACTACGGCCAAAGTGAAGATCTGCGTTTTCTCCGTTTTGGGTGTCTGCGTGTGGACAGACAAAACCGGAGTTTTAAGGTCCGCAACGTCACTTTCCACGACAAAAAATGCTGACATCACGTGTACGACCTGTGTTTACACTAGCCGGCATCATGGAAGCCTTCAGAGCTGCGCTCTGTCACTACCCGATCCATCAATTGTCCAAGCGCTTTCTGCTTGTTTGTTTTTGCAAGCGGAATTACTGCTCCTTGCGGAAGACCACAGACGAAGGACGAGGTTAAGAACGGGGAAAGTACTGCCGCCTACTGGTCTGGCATGTCCTTAACAACGTATTTATCCGGGTACGTGTGGACAGAGTTTTTTTTTAAACGAGGTGGTGTGGATGCAAGTTTTTAGAGGGGCGGATATTCGTTTTTTTTAAAAACCCGGCTACGTGTGGACTAGGCCTTAATAAGCCAGGTTTACCATTGTACGGAACAAGTTGCTTGTGCAGTGTTAAACATTTATTGCTTTCAAGATAAATAATAGATTTTAGTATTTTACACGCACAAATAAAAATCATATAATGATAGAACTGAAATAAATTTAAAAGTGTTCATCCATCCATTCATCTATCCATTTTCCTATGATTATCATCATGTCATGGGGACAGCCTCCCTCTCCGAGAAACTAAAGCCGTGTTTCTGTGGTTGGAACTTCAGGGTAAATTCTGGGAGTGGGAAATTGACGGGGAGATACGATGTCTCGATCCACTTACCTGTTGTGTCTCCATTCAAAATCAGCTCTTTCAGGACTTGGCACAGGTCAGCATGTTGCTGTTCTTACAGCAGTGAGTGATGTCACTGATCAGCACCCAAAAGCATCCACCGTAACATTAAAAACATTAAATGTTTTATTTTGTCTGTTACGGCCGCCGCCGCCGCCGTGTGGTGATTTAAATCTGGTTGTAGTTGCTTTCTTGTGAAGAAACAACTTTAGGACTTTTGTGCGTGTTTTGGGATAAGTTAAACTGGTAGACATTTGGTTTTGGTGTGTCTTTTAGACCATCTTTTGGCAAATTCCCAGGTGGGATTTCTCCCCTTTTGAAGTGTCTGAGTTCCTGAGCTGTTTTAGTGGTTTGGACACCTTTGGTTAATTCAGTGTTTTTGGTTGGTTTGTCTTTCAGACAAACTTTTTTTGTTTAACAAACTTGGTGGGGGTTTTTGCCCCTTTTTGAGTTTCATTCCCTTTTAAAGAAAGGAGGTTTAATTTGGATTGATGGCGGTTGGTCCTTTGGACCTTTTTAGTTAATTATATACGATTTGCGTTGGTAATTTCTAGGTAAGGGTTTTTTGGCCCTTCTTTTGGTTCTCCTTTTTTTTTTAAATTAAACCTTTGAAAATACAAGGACACTTTGAGTTTGGTTTTGCTTGGTCAAGCCTTTTTCTCCCCAATAAGGGTCACTTTTTGTTATACTGGTCCACCTTATGTTTATTCCCCTCTCCTTCCTAGCTGAGCCAACAGAGGGGTGTAACATTGTCAAAGTATATCATAATTTAATCCATTCAGAGGATGAAAGCAGCTGCGTGATGCGAAATGTGGCGTTCAATGATCAGAAAGTTTTTGTGGTGCTTTGTGAGACCACAAAGCACCATTAATTACGTGGTTTGGGGACAAGTCTGCCTTGTTTTTCTGTGTTGTGAGTTTAGTAACAGCAACTTTAAAGCAGTACAATTTGTGTTTTTTTTTTTTTTTACACTTCTATTCTGCTTCATAAGCAACTCATCCAATTTAACTAATGCTGGTTGTTTTGAATGGTGTTAGTTAACCAGGAAAACCAACAGTTCCGCTCAGCAACTCCTACCCTTGATCAGGTACTCAGAAAGTTCCTGAAAACGGCCATTCGGAGACACGTGCATGCCGGGAATTTGTGGTAAATTTACTTCAAAGTTCCGGGAGTGGAAACACACTCACTGTCCATCCAGCATGCCCTGGGTCTTCCTCGGGGTCTCCAGGCAAACCTCACCAGTAAGGCATTCAGAAGGCATCCTAACCAGATGTCCAAGGTGGAGAAGTGAAACTCCAAATTAGATGTCCTAATTTTCTCAGAAATTTTTTTATTAAAAAACAAAAACCTTTCATTAAAAACTAGATAAAATGTGGTTGTGTTATTAGACTGAGGTGTAGTCAAAGAGCTCATTGGGAAAAGGGTACATTACACACAGATGAAGGACCTTTCTGGTGTTTTAGAAGGTCAACAAAAAGCTTTAGGTGTTTCTATGATTTTTCCTCTTGTTAGTCAATAAAGGATTTCAGATCAGAGATAATGTTATTTAATTTGATGTTAAATGATAAATAAATGATAAATGACCCGCACTTGTATAGCGCCTCTCATAGTAAGGACTCCAAAGCGCTTTACACTACAGTGTAAATCATTCGTCCATTCACACAATGGTGGGGATGAGCTACGATGTAGCCACAGCTGCCCTGGGGCGCACTGACAGAGGCGAGGCTGCCGAGCACTGGCGCCACCGGTCCCTCCGACCACCACCAGCAGGCAAGGTGGGTTAAGTGTCTTGCCCAAGGACACAACAGCAGAATTCTCTGTCCGGAGCCGGGATCGAACTTGCAACCTTCCGATTACTGGACAACCCGCTCAACCTGTTGAGCTACTGCTGCCCATAAAAATGTTGTGTACATTAAAGAAAATGCCAAAGGGACCTATGTCCCCTACTATTACTTTGTGATAGTTTAGACCAGTGGTTCCCAACCTTTTTGCCAAAGGACCCCGTTTTTTACCAGTAAAATTTTTGACGACCCCCTCCCATTCTCTCTTCCAGTACAAACATTATTAAGAAATGATAAAATTGTTCAAGCACATTTTAATATGCTTTGATTCAATAGATAACAGTAATAGTAGGCTCCAGTACAGAACAAAGTCATTAACAAAACCAAACAGAGCATAATGTGCTTGACAGTTTGTATTACTTTTCTGAACACATTGTTTCTTGTAAACACTGATAAATCAATCATTCCTTTCAATAAATGTTTGACACATAAAAATACACTGAGCAAAATGTACTTAAATGTGTATATTACTGTTTATACTAGATTATTTACTGTAAACGCTGTGATTAATCAACCAGTCCTATCTGTAATGAACTTTTGACACTTGAAATTAAAACAGTGAGCTGAGCAAAATGTTCTTAAAAGTGTTACTTTTTCTGTACTAATTATTTCCTGTCTTAATATCAGTAAACTTTTCACTCATGAAAAAAAGTGAGCAAAATGTAGGCTATAAACAAGTAATAAATGACGTTTCAACCCCTTAAAGTGGAGAGGTCCTGGCGACCCACTGAGAGGCTTTGGCGCCCCCTTGTGGGGGTCGGGACCCCCAGGTTAGTAACCACTGGTTTAGACCACTATAGAACTGGGTTGACAACATCACGATCACAGTGGATGCTTTTTATGAGTTACCTTGGTAACACACCAACATGAGCTAGGACAACATGTTTATGCTAGGTAGGTTAAAGCAACACACTCCCTTATCAGAGGATGACACAAACTATAATTAAACTCATTCTTTGTGCTGAACCATTGCAGCAATAATAGGTGAGATTTGAAACCTTGTTTTTAACTAGCAGGCAGCAGTATCCCAGGAGGTAGAGTGGGTTGTCCAGTAATAGGAAGGTTGCAGGGTAGATCTCGGCTCCAGACAGAGGATTCAGCAGTTGCGTCCTTGGCCAGGACATTAAATCCGCCTTGCCTGCTGGTGGTGGATGTCAGAGGGACCGGTGGTGCCTGACAGCCTCGCCTGTCAGTGCGCCCCAGGGCAGGTGTAGTTCACCATCACTAACATGGGAATGTGTGTGTGAAGATGCATGATTCACTATAATGTAAATCGTTTTGGAGCCCTCTGACTCAAGGTGCTATACAAGTGCAGGTCATTTATCATTATCATTTAATTATTCAACAACCAGAGGTCAATTTTAATTTAAACTCCAACACAAGTCATTGTTTCCTGCACAGACCAAAAACTGGGACACAGTTCTTCAAGGAGAAGACTGTTAAAAGTGTGTATTACTCATGAGGAGTGTTTAAAAGGCCGTCTTCTCTTTCTATACGTGTCTCTCTCTTGTCTTTATACAGCACATTTGTATTTCCATCACTTCCATGTGTTTGTCAAACAAATCACAGCTTAGAAAATAACTTGGAACCTGTTTATTTTGAGCCAAGTTTTACACTCAGAGTAAATGCCATCCCCTAAGTCAGAAGAAAACAGCAGACAGAGTAACAGTGGAAAGTTGATTGAAATCAAGTCGATGGGGAAGTCTTCTTGCAGATAATCTCATCCCAGCACTGCTTGATCTGCTGCATTAATACTCCACTAAACCATGACCTGATGACCTGTTCGTGTCTCTTACAGTGAAGAGCATTTGACTATTAGAAGACCTTTCTGCTGCTGCTCTTCTTTTACATAAAAGGCACTTCAGTCAAGAGAACTGTTGTCTTTGAAACCTAATTTGGAACACGTTTACAAAGACTTTTGTTTGATGGTTCTTGAAAGTTAGAAAAAAGAAGAAATAACGGATTTTTTCTTGTATCTTTTCTCATTAGCACACGAGTCACATGCCTTTGCTCACGCTCTCCCCTCCTGGACTTTTCACTGCCTCCATTTGACTCACTGACATTGACACTGTGGGTGTTTGTTTCGTCAGCAAGCCGCAGACGGAGGAGGAACAGGAAAGCAATGCTAGAACAAAATTCTCAACTGCAAAGGAAGAAGGAAGGAGAACGGAAAATGTGAGAAAACAGAATAGAAGGTAGAAACAAAGAAAAGGAATACATTTGAACATGGTGGAAAGATATGTGAACTAGGGATAGGTACCTTTGACATTTGAATCGATCCGGTGCTAATTCCCAGTACCTACGAATCGAAACCGGTACTTAACGGTACCAATTTTCAATATTTTGAGTGTTTATAATTTTAATTCTCTTTTATAATTAAATATAAATTTTTCTCAATATATAACAATATTTGATATATATCACGATAAATAACATACAACTGTTTGTATTTTAACATCGTCCTTGTAGTTTTATAAGCTGATAATTAGGGCTGCAACTAACGATTATTTTCATAATCGATTAATCTGTCGATTATTTTTTCGATTAATCGATTAATCGGTTTGTTACTGTTTAGCTATTTAACCTATACAAGTGATGGATGCATTTCAGTTAAGAAAAAAAAACATAAGAGAATTGTGCAGTTGACTGCAATCTATTTTATTGCACATGAACACAGTCAGCAGTAGAAAATGAGCTAAACAGTGCAAAATATCAGTCCAGAATAATTTTTTAGCATTAGCTGGAAGCCTGCTCCTTCCACCATGGATAGTGGCCTCATGTCTTTTACCAGCATGTTTAGAATAGAGTTTGTAAGTGGTATGAATTGCTGGGGGGTGAGTGTCTTGTTCCCCATGTAGTTGTCCATCGTTGCTTGTTTTTTTCTGCATAAGAAACACAAATAGACTGAAATAAGTACACATATAAAATAAAGCAGCACACACACTACAACACTAAATCAATGTTAAATTATTTGAATTAATTAACAATATACAGTGATCATTTATTTTGAGGGTTACGTTCTACAAAATAGCCCGCAACAGGAGATATTAAGAAAAAAAGTCTAATTTTTTTACTATTAAAAAGCTCAGAGTAAGAAGCTCATGAGGTTTTTACTTTGAGTCGGGAGTGTTTAAATTAGCTAGAGAAATGTGAAAAATGTTTATTTTGTGTAATACTGTTTAAGAAACATGATAAAAATGTGTTGTGAGGCGTTTTACAGCGTTAGACAGTAAAACAGCCTTTTAATAGTAAAAAAAATGACTTTTTCTGAATTTCTCCTGTATTTAAAAATTGAAAGCGTACAACTATGCCGCGTTATATTCACCTGGACACAGCTCGTCTGTATATTTTTCACCGCAGAGTTGTCCTTTTTTGAATGAGGAACATAGTTATGGGTTTGTGCCGTTTTTCTCTTAACGAGAACATTCTTATAAACAGACGTGCTGAATTTGGCAAGCGCATGATACACAACACGGAGGAGATTCACGATTGCATCTAGTCAATCAGAAGTAGAACACCGTAGACTGACGCGACAAAAAAACATGTTTAACATCCACTATAACGAACTCAGCTAAAACACTAAGTCCAGCTTGTTTATTTTCTGTTACTTACCGGGCTGGCTCTTCCAAATGACGGCTCACTTGACCGCGGTGCTCTTCCTCAGCCCCCACGTTTTCGTCTCAAATGTTCACTTAGGGACGTCGTGCTTCCGTGCCATGCTAGATGGTTTTTGCATATTTTGCCTTTTCAAGGCATCTAGACTGAAGTGCTCCCATACTCGTGAGGTTTTTGTCCGGGGTTTCTCTAAAGTTTTGTCGCTTCTATTTTCTTCCGTATTTCCTCTTGTTCCGCCATCTCTCACAGCAAGATGAGCGTCAGTAACGTGATACGTCATGAAAACCGAGGGCACTCATTGGCTCATTTCTTCTTCTACGGCTCCACTGGTAGATCAGTGGCTCATTACTGCCACACACTGGCGGCAAATTTAACAGCTTGTAACCGATGTCAGATTGTGGTAAAAATAGACTTTATGCGGTAAAATATGATTATTAAACAACTAATCGATGACTAAAAAAGTTGTTAACTATTTTAATAATCGATTATAATCGATTAAATCGATTAGTTGTTTCAGCTCTACTGATAATTAAACTGAAGCAAACATCTTTACTGTGAGCTACATTTACTGTGTATCTTCATTCCTTTTGCCGTCTTTTTTCATTTGATTTTTCCTACTGGGAAGTTAGAATTTCCGAGGAGAAAGCAAACGCACCATTAGCTGATAACAATGGTAGCAAAGGAAGCTAACATACCAAGCTAACGTTATCTTAAACAGTTTATTTAGCTGCTGGAGCTAAACAATGATGCCTCACACTTAGATCGTTGTCACTGGTTTCGTCTTCACCCGTCGCATTTAGTAAAGTGAAGCCAAACTTTAGTGCGCGTTCATGTTCTTCTAGTCGGGAATTCGGAGTTCCGAGGAGAAAGCGAACGCACCATTAGCGAAACGGAAGCTAATATATCAAGCTAATTATACTTACCTACCGGAGCAGATTAAGATGAGGGTGTCTCACTTAGATCGTTGTCGCTGGTTTCACCATCACCCAGTTACCCATCACATTTAGTGAAGTGGACCCAAGCTTTAGCGTGCGTTCTTTCTACCATGCTGCTCTGTTTACAACTGGCTCGCAGCGAGCGATGACATAACGCTCTTGTGCATGCACAGCTGTCTTGGAAAGTTCTCGTTATGATGGACGGGTATCGAAACGAGGCACCGTTTGAAATGACGTGAATCGGTGCTCGGTCGGTACTATGGAATTCGGTCGGTACCTTAAAAAGTACCGAATTCGGTACCCATCGCTAATGTGAACGCTTTCAGAGCTCCAGTGCAACACTGTGGTCTAACGCTGAAAAAAGATTACAAATCACAATGTGTTGGAACTGTGATGTTTAATGGTAATTATTTAAATCCCTAATATTTGATGTTTGATTGAAAAACAACATGATCCACTTTCTCTTAGGATGTGCCTAAAAAGGTATTTAACTTAGCTTTATGCTAGGAGAAATCATTTGACTCCTCCACTCAGACTAGCACTCAGCTGACTCACAAAAACATCATCCTCATACACACTTGGCTGGTATTGATCCATCTTATATGAACCGACTCATCAGGTGTGGAACGCAAGATCCAAATGCCTACAAACAACAAATGATAAAGCTGAATAACAAATTATCAATAGTTGCATGATTACTCATCTCATGTATCAGCTTTGTAAATCCCTGGCTGCATGATGGCTCCATTCCTCAGTTTTTAGAGTGTAATAATAAAATCCATGTTTCAGTTCTAAAGTGCAAAGCTTAGAAATGTTCCCTTTTTATTTTGTTCATTTTGCAACATCCTTAAAATAGAAGTAGACATTTTAAAATCACATCTGGGAGAAACTGTAAAACTTTCTTTCTTTCTTTCTTTCTTTCTCAGGGTATCCGCGGGTCCTTAAAAAGTCTTAAATTTGCTTTTCCAAATTTAAGGCCTTAAAAATCCTTAAAAATTACTAATTATCCTTAAATACAGTTTCCAAAGGTCTTAAATTACCAAAGACCCAATAAACAAGATTATTTTATTTAAATTTTCATGAATTTCTAGTTAGTGTTCAGCATTTTTTGTGTACAATGTTGGCGTAAGCGGAACCGTACACATTCAGTTGGTTGTGAAAGGGGGCTTTTTTAGATGAGCACATTAGCTGTTTAAGCTAGTGGGAGATTGCACCATGGGGATGTGCAACTTTTATGGTAACTGGATGGCTAATCCCACGTTCGCAGCGTGGTTCGCACTGGTTCCAGGCAATAGCTGGAAATTATAGTTTAAATTTAATTTTAAAAAATAGCTTAAATTTGGTCAAAGTGGCCTTAAAAAGGTCTTAAAAAGTCTTAAATTTGGCTCCCTTAAACCTGCAGATACCCTGATTTCTTTCTTTCTTTCTTTCTTTCTTTCTGTCTTTCTTTCTTTCTTTCTTTCTGTCTTTCTTTCCTTCTTTCTTTCTTTCTGTCTTTCTTTCTTTCTTTCTTTCTTTCTTTCTTTCTTTCTTTCTTTCTTTCTTTCTTTCTTTCTTTCTTTGTAATTGCTAAACATTCACTGAAGTGCTGGAAACCAAATGGGCATCATCTCTCCTTTCTAAATCTATATCTATAGGTTAAATAAACACTATTTCCATGTTGTTTAGGGACGGTAGTTACAACTGCACAGTATGGTGAAGGCAGTGAAGGGAAATGTCCTCAGAGGTCAGATAAAATAAGAGGATTTCCCCTTAATTGTGTACTTTTTATATACTTATAATCTCAAAGTGGGACATTCAGTTAATGTGAGACAGAATGCGTTAGATAATCCCGTGTGTGTGTGTGTGTGTGTGTGTGTGTGTGTGTGTGTGTGTTACAGGAACAGTTAGAATGATTAATTTTACTTTTTTTCTTAGTCTGTTTGACACAAACCTTCGCTCAAGGACAAAACACAAACCCCAGTGACGGCACTCGGGGTTATTCTTGCGTAGTATCCGGGGGTTATGGTAGAAGGTAACATTGATGTAACACCTTCCACAACACATGAAGGTTTTTCTGTTTGACAAGTTTCAGCTCAAGTAATTTCCACTGAAAGAGAGACAAGTAAAAGAGATGAGAATAATTTTTAAATATACCTTAGTCGACACGATCATGGTACGTCCAACAGCACAGATGTTGGATTAGCTTCTTCTGTCAAAAAGAGTCAAATAATTAAAAAAGTTAACCCTTGGAGGTCAAAGGGTACCTTTCACACAAAACAATGCACTAGGGACCTCTAAGGGTGAATCAGTTTGGTAAATCAAATCATAATTTTGTTTTAACGTCCTGTCCTTTTTTGATGGTCTAGTACAGGTAACCATCTAATGTACTGATCTTTAAAGTCTAGCACTGAATCCATACTCTTCATTTCTGAAGTCTTTTTAAAATTCCTCAACAAACACGAGATTGGAGGAGGTGCACTGATGCACGTGGTCTTTCTTTCTATTTATTTCTGTTCTGCTGGCGGGGAGTGAAACTGATAATTCCCAGTGCCGTCTGTCTCCTCTGACTAGTTTTACTTTACATGCTGCAGGCAAAGTGCTTGGTGATGATCTGGAAAATTAATGTACATCCTCTATGCACAGACTTCCTCTAAGGATTGGATAATCCTAGGATATTCTATGTTAGAACACACTTTTGCCTTTAAATGAGATCTGAGAGTTATTCCCCTGACACCTCATTCACATTATGTCTTAAAACCATCTAGATTAATGACAACTTGATTTTGTTCTTTGCTGCACAGCTGCTTAATAGATATCTATATGGGCACTTTTTTTCTCGTATCACTTTCAACAAAATGTGGGAAAAATTAATAATAGAAATGTTGTTTGTTTAGCACCATGTTCATACATTAGAAAATAATGTTTTATGAAATGACTTTAGGAAAGTTGGCTAACGCAGTGATTGAATTCCCATTTAAATAGCATTGTGTCTTTCATGAACAAATTGGCTCCATTTTCAGGCTTGTACTTTCAGCAATGGGAGCCAGCTCGCACCTGGAAGCCACCAGGGTTTTTGTTTGTTTTAATGCAACCAATCTGGTGGAGTAAAATACACAGATTATACCACTGGGGTATGACAGGATGGTGGTTTACTCCCAGCAGATGGTACCACCGCTTCAACAGACACATCTCTTTAGAACATCATGGTGTCCTTGTGTTTGAATCAATCGACTGAATGCAGCATTCAAAATTTGAGCCAGGAGTCAGCTCACCACTCAGTCAGTTCATTTGGGAACAGCTCATCACTCATAATCTAGTTTGAATTCAGTTTGGTTTATTTATATGGTGCTAATTCACAACAGGAGTCTTCTCAGTCATAAACCCTGTAACGGGTAATTTTAGCACACAATAGCTCAAGAAAATAATTTAAAGCTGCTTTCTGAAGTTTTCCCCTTTCAGAAATTATGTGTGATTTTTCAGAAATCTGTAAAAGTGATTATCTCATCATGTACTGTGATATAATGTAAGCAATACGTCTTTTTTGTTGTTGTTGTTTTGTTTTTGCTAAGCACGCCCCCTGCCCCGCAGTAGCAAACTGAGCGCTGACCAGAACTAACCAATAGCATTAGACTACCGCTTACTTACTTCAAATTTAAGGAATACCTCGGCTGATGCAGAGTTCATGAACTTTTCACACACAAGAAAGTCTCTAAAATATAAATATATGAGAACACAACACAACATGACAATAATACTCGTAAAACAACGTGTTTTAGCTGTTTGTCGGCTACAGAAGCACATTTATAAACAGAAACGTGAAGTTGACATCTTAAAAAAACAGAGCAACAGAGTTTTTGTGTGATATGCTTGTCAGCCACTAGATGGTGTCATCAGATAAGAGAAATACTCCAGAAAGAAGCTTTAAAAATATGAATAGGTGCAAAGTATTCCTTAAAATTCCTTGTTTGGGAATAGGTTCAGAGCTGCATTGCAGGTGCTATGTGAAACGGGGAGACAAAATAGAGGAGGCCTCGGGTTGAACCTTTTCAGCACCTATAATACACCTATGATACACCTATAATACACCTATGATACACCTATAATACACCTATAATACACCTATAATACACCTATGATACACCTATAATGCACCTATAATACACCTTTAATACACCTATGATACACCTATAATACACCTATAATACACCTTTAATACACCTATGATACACCTATAATACACCTTTAATACACCTATGATACACCTATAGTACACCTATAATGCACCTATAATGCACCTATAATACACCTTTAATACACCTATGATACACCTATAATGCACCTATAATGCAGCTGTGAAACAAATACCCAAACGGTTTCATAGGTTACACCCTCCTTCCCACACAATAGAGGATAATGACTACAATTCTCTAATTTCCCTCTGGGATTAATAAAGTATCTTTGGATTTGAATGGAACTGAATTGAAATGAATGACTCATCAGGAGGTAGGGAGGAGGGGTTTTCATAAGTAGTTTCTACATCTTGAGCAACGATAGACAGCTACAGCTTCTAAGCTTGACCCTCCCATATTCCAGCCAGAATTGACAAAGCTCCTTGGATGAGAAGCAAAACTTCTTCAAGCAACCAACGAAGTCTAGTTGCTTTCATTCGAACCTCTTTTATTAATATAAATAAAAATATAACAACAATTACCCATAATAAGACTTTAGATAACTGTTTATAATCACTCGTGGCCCCATTTATTTAGTAAATAAATGATTGAACCCGTTCCTGCCCAACCCTGATCAGATCCACAAACAGCTTGTCAGAGTTTAACCTCAACAGTTCTGGTGCCTGCAGAATGCGGGCTAATCCTTCTCATTAGACTTTCTGCTGAAGTGCAATAGACTCCAGTTTTTACCTCGGGGAATGGATTCTGTGTTTGTAGTTTACATCCCGTGGGGATTTTATCCAAGGTCAGCTGTAGATTACCTATTTGGCTCATTGAGCCATGCGCTCTGTTAGATCCCCTCTTTAATGTGCATTGGTGATTGATTAGGCGTGAGTGTCTCTATGCCAATGCCGGCCTTGACTGATGCATACACAGAGCAATATGTATGTATGGATAGCTCTTGTGCGGAATGTGCGATCGATGCATGGACTCTGCTAGCAATAATTACCTCATCCAGAAGAGGGGAAAGCCTGGGGGTGGAGGACGTATGTGTGTATTGCTTTGTGTGTGTATCAGCCCTGCTTCTCAACTGGCTTCTTGAGTCATGGGTTGTTGCAATGTCAGAGAGCGTGAAACTCCTTTTCATCAGTCCTCT